CTGTGGTTCCCAGGCACAGGCACAGTGGCAGTAACAATAGTTACATGTAGTGAGGGCTTGCTCTGTGCCTGGCCATGTGCCAGCCATCTGGGGCATGCTGTCACACACAATCGTCACACACAATCGTCACACGGCCCTATGAGTGGGTGCTGTTATTAACTTCACTTCACAAGGGAAGAGGCGACAGGCTGAAGATGGAAGACATCCCTCAAGGTCCTAGAAGGAACTCATAATGAGCTCTGGAGTCACAAAGACCAGTAGGAGGGGAGGGGGTCCCTGTCTTCAGAGTCTTCAAAGTCTTCCAAGCAGGGACTTGAAGGCAGAGAGGGTGTGTGTGGTGCTGAGTGATCCACTGGGTGCCAGATAGAAAACACTAGAAGTTTCACTTCCATTTGCTTCTGATATTAAAATGACAGAGAAAGAACTGAAGCTTTAGTATTATTTAAAATCCAACTGACCCTGACTGTGCCTGTCAGTCATTTGGTCCCTTGTCATTCATAGTATTTCACACACCCTGATGAAATATTAAAAAAAAAACTACAACATAAAGAGTTGATGGTAAGGTTGCCAGAAAAAATACAAAGCACCCAGTTAAATTTAACTTTCAGATAAACAACAGATAATTTTGTACTCTGAGTCTGGCCCAGTTACTGCATGTCAGTGTTGCTTGTCTAAATCTGGCAACTCTCACAAAAACTCGGAATCTGGCAACACTGACAAGTGGCACTGTCTCCAGAGTTCTCAGTCAACAGTCCCTGGCTGCCAGAGCTGACCTACTGAGGACTGTACCTAGTTGTACCTAAACCAAACTTCCCCAGCAGGAGTGCTTTGTCAGCACTACTTCTGGACAGTGATGCTCCAGAGTCCAGACCTTCACACAGCTACCTTCATGGCTCTTGGGAATCCTGATGCCATTGAGCCAAGAAGCTTGGAGTACCCTGCCAGGGACAGATGACAACATGGAACAAGAGACAGGGCATCCCAGCTGATGACACCTATGCCCTCCAGGAGACAACAGCAGGCGTGTGAACAGGCCACCCTGGAGCAGCTAAGGACAAGTGCTGAAGACCAGCCCCCCTGACCTGATCTAGAAGAATATGAAATACAAAAATGGTGTTGCTTCAAGTCAACAATTGTTGGGCTGGTTTGTTACACAGCAAATGCTAACATATACACTGAGTAAAGATGTTTAGCTGACCAGATATTGCATTGGCCAGAATTTTTTTTTTTTTCTGCCAGACCTACTTCAGCTCTCCAAGGTCTTTGGCTTTAACAGGGGGGCCAGAAAGGCACTATCTAAACCCTTTCTTAGTTTTCAACTCCTAGAATTCCTTTGATGCTTATCTTCCTTCCACAGTCAGCCCTTCCTTCACATCTGTGAGTTTCATTGATCTGAGGATTCAACCAGCTGCAGATCTAAGCTATTCAGAAAAAAAAAAAAACGCATGTTGACTGAACACAGATTTTTTTTCATGCCATTATTCCCTAAACAACATAATATAACAACTACATAATAGCATTTACATTATATTAGGTATTAAAAGTAAGTTACAGATGATTTAAAGTACAGGGAGGAGACAGGTAGGTTTTATGCACATACTACACTATGGTACACAAGGGACATGAGCATCTGAGGGGGTTGGTATCTGATGGGCCCTGGAACCATCCCTGCAGATACAGAGGAATAACTGAGTGTCCTTATTGTTTCTTGTGTTACAAAAACCTGGCCTATCTTAAACACGTGATGAGTGACAGAAGCAGCATGTATGCAAACAAAACTGTGGTTGGAAACTTTTAATTGAGCATTCAGGTGGCCCCTAGAAGTTCAGATTAAATGGTTGGCCAGGCTGGGCGTGGTGGCTCACACCTGTGATCCCAGAGACTCAGGAGCCTGAGGCAGGAGGATCAGGAGCTCAAAGCCAGCCTCAGCAAAAGCGAGGGGCTAGGCAACTCAGTGAGATCCTGTGTCTAAATAAATAAAATACAAAATAGGGCTGGGGATGCGGCTCAGTAGTCGAGTACCCCTGAGTTCAATCCCCTGTACCCCCCGCAAAAAAATGGTTATCCACCCAGCTACTGCATGGTAAGTTCGGGGAGAATCTCCCACAAGTTTTAATGACCTGAAATGATATACAAAGTGCAAGCTACTGTAAGCAACCTAGTGAGACACTGTCTCAAAATGAAAAACTGTTTAAAAGGACTGGGGATGTGACTCAGTGCTTAAGCACCCCGGGGTTCAATCCCTGGTACCAAAAAGTGAGAGGGAAAGAGAAAGTAAGTTCTGTCTCTTTGCTCGCTGCAGCTGAGCCAGACACCATTCATTCACCAGCACATTTATTGAGCACCTGCTCTGCACTGGACACTTTACACTCTCGTGTGTAAAGCCCAGCAGAGAATAGGATCTACCTGGTCCCTGGAACTATGGTGCTTGTGATTTTTTTGGGGGGTGGGGTGGGGGTAGGGATTGAATCTAGATGCACTCCACAATTGAGATTTAAAGTACAGGGAGGAGACAAGTAGTCAGTATTATCTTTTTAAATTTTGAGACAGGGTCTTCCTAAGTTGCTGAGGCTGGCCTCGAACTTGCAATCCTGCCTCAGCCTCCCTAGTTGCTAGGATCATAGGCAACTGCCCCTAGCATGGTACTTGTGTTCTACATACAAAGTACTTTGACTTCCTAAATGTCCATGGCTAAGGTCAAGAAAGTTCTATTAGACAATTAAAGTTTGAAAAGCACCAAGAGAAATGAGAACAAAAAAAACCTTTTATTTTTATTTCTTTTATTTTGCAGTTCTGCAGGTTAAACCCAGGGCTCACACAGGCTAGGCAAGCTCTCTACTGTGGAGCTATCCCCCAGTCTAAAAGATGTGTTTTAAAATTTTGTTTCAACAGTTCTTCATGACACCAAATAATACATCTTTCTATATTTTTTCATGGAATTGCCTGATGAGTTCAATGAATAAAGAATACATTGTTGTAAGCACTGGAGCTGCACCAACTGTGTCACACTATCTGGATGCCTAAGGCCAAACCTCAGAGGCAGTGCAACTGGAGAAATGTAGCCACCATCCACAGGACTGTGCAAATCACTCAGAAGAAAGTCATCTTCAGTTTGAATTATTGGGATAACTGTCTCAATCCCCCTCTCTCGGTCATGACCGGAAAAGGGGGTGAAAGGACATTAACAGCCTCATTCATTCACAAATAACTTCTTTTATGTCTCAGGTACTGATCTAAGTGCTGGGAACATAGCAGCAAAATAAAACCAACATCCTGCCCTTGGGGAGCAGCCGTTTCAAAATACACGAGTTGTATGAGAAAATGTGCTCGGAGAGCATATGATGGTCCATCCATGATTTTATTTCTTTATTTTGGTACTGCGGACTGAACCCGAGGTGCTCTACCACTGAAGTAGATCCCTTGTCCTTTCTATTTATTTGTAACAGGGATTGAACTCAGGGGCGCTTGACCACTGAGCCACATCAACAGCCCTATTTTTGTCTTTTATTTAGAGACCGAGTCTCATTGAGTTGCTTAGCGCCTTGCTTTTGCTGAGGCTGGCTTTGAACTCACGATCCTCCTGCCTCAGCCTCCCAAGTGGCTGGGATTGCAGGCATGAGTCACCGCGCCCAGCTCTCCTTTTTATTTTGAGAGAGGTTCTCCCTAAGAGACTGGCCTCAAACTTATGATCCTCCTGCCTCAACCTCCAAAGTAGCTGAGATTACAGGTGTGTGCTACATTGCCGCCTGGCCACAAATGTGTCTTGAGAACATATTTGGAGGTTCTTGCAGAGGAGCTCCTGTACACGCTTGCTTGAAGAATGGTACTCTCCTTTATCCAGGGAAGGTCATACTCTTCAGTCTGGGGAGGGACCTGCACGGATCCGTGAGCAAGAGAGGCGATCTAGGCAGCCAAAGTAGCCAAATCAACCCTGGCAGTTAAGGGAGTGAAAGATGCCATGGCCGGACGGCCCTCCCATCCCACAACTCTGTCTTCATTCTGTTCAAGTTCATGAGATGCAGGGCTTCAACATGCAAGGAGGAAAGACAAAGCAAGCGGGTACCCATTTCCTTCTGCTGAGCATCCGCAAATATTACACCATATCATTACATAATATAAGGTGGTGGCCCCTCAAGAGATGTAGCTTCGGGGTGCTACAGAAACACATGCCCTTCCGGAACATTCTGTGTTGTCTCCTGATGTAAGATCATCTGAGACACAGGCTGAAAGTTTGAATTATTGGGGCTGGCCTCCAAGTGATCTTAGGGGCAGGAACCCGGGTAGGTAAGCAAGAACTACCAGCTGGGGTTGTGGCTCAGTGGTAGAGCACTTGCCTAGCACGTGTGAGGCCCTGGGTTTGAGCCTCAGCATCCCATAAAGATAAATAAATAAAATAAAGGTATTGTATCCATCCCAGCACCACAATAAAAAAGAAGAGAGAACCAAGAGAGAAAAGCAAAAAGATTCCTTAAAAAGAACTACCAACTTCTTGGTAATTCTATATCATAAACTGTAAAGCAACTTTCTCCCAGGATATGTCTCTCCAGCTAAGGTGGCCAAGCCTCTGCACAGGAAATCTAAAGCTTCAAAGGCCAAGATTCCTGTCCCTCCAACTGCAACAGGTGACTATGATACAGAAGGAAAGCCTCCTTCTTCCCTTTTGGTCATGGAAACCTTCCCCCTTTTCAAAACTTTGTAAACAACATGCCTCTGTACTGTGGAATCCCTTCTATTGATTTGTTTTAATAAAAGATTCCTCCTAAAGAAAAGAGATCTTTGATCTGACTTAACAAAAAAGGATCTAATCAAACAATAAAATCTATGTGGGGGGAGGGCAGGTTCTCTGAGCCACATCAAATATATGAAAGAGAAAATACATTTAAATGCTGGGAACTGATAAAAAACAGCTTGACATGTAATAACTCAGCTGAAGAAGTGAAACCACATGTTGATCTGACAGGAGCTTCTAAGACAATTAAAGGTGGTTCCTTGAACAAACCTCTCACTGCACTTGGAGAAGGTGAATTGCCGGCTGTATTTTTAGCCACTGTGTGTGGGTCAGGGGCTCCCACCTGGCACAAGCCACCATGGCTGGTCCCCAGGGGAATCAAGGTGATGCCCACGAAGCAAGGGCTTCCACTGCAGCCACTTCCAAATAAATGTCCCACGCTGGGCTGCAGCCATCTCTCCTTGAAGGCCCAGGACACGAGGACAAAACGCAGGAGGTTGGAACCCTGGTTAACTCAAGGCCACTCCTTCCTGATCAAAATCTCTTCCTTTGGCTCTGCCCACCTTCAGCTCAGGAGTGGAGTTCGGGTGCTGGACCCCCAGAGCGGCCTATGGAAAGGCCTTCCAGCAGCTGGGCCGGCTCAGCTCTTGGGGAAAGCTGGGCTATTAGGAAGTGACTGCACACCCCTCCCTCCTTGCTCTTGCCCCCAGGCCTGACTCCTTTGAGAAAGGAAGTGCTGGAGAAAGACTTCAAAGTCTTGCTTTCAAAAGGGAAATCACATCTAGAAAGCTTTTCTCAGAATGAGAAAGAAACAAATTATTTGATTTGAAAGAGGAGTAACTCTTAAGGCCAACGAAGGAGGAGGATCAAAGACCAAGTTCATGTCAACTTCAGAAGCGATCCTTTCCAGCGGAACATGACATTACTCTTCCGATTCACTCAACGCTTCTGGAGAGGGTGCGTTTACTGGAGGATCAAAATAAAGAAGCGAGTCGGCCTTCCAAAAAGTCACGTGGTCCCTCCCCTCCCCCACCTCGTGGAGCGCCGGGGCTCCCGGGCTCCGGCCGCCGGCACCGACTCCCACCGCCCCGCGTGCGCGCGGCAGCGGCGGCGACTGCGAGTCCCGACCCGCCGGCCCTTGCGCACTTGGGGGGAAGTCCGTGGGTAGGGGCGACAGAAAGTGGCTGAGAACCCGATGACCCGAGAAAGCAGCTCGCGTCGGGCCCTCCTTTTTTCCTGCCCGCGCCCGGTCTCCCCAGTCCTGCTCTTTGGACCTGGCAGGTGAGCCTAGTCTAGCCAGCACATGGTTAAGGAGTCTTGGGGTGCTTGCTTCGTATTTTTAATTATTCGAGTAACACCTGAAAATATTCCAATAATAATAATAATAATAATATTTTTTTTTAATCTCAAAGCGAAACTTAAAAAAAAATAAAAGAGGGGGTAATCTCTGTTAATGGGAAATGATTGGATCACCTGTGAAGTGCCCCTGGTAGCCCTGGTGGCTCCCTTTCCACTCCCCTACTCCAAGGCTATTCTCCATTTGGTAGGTACTTTCCAATGCCCTAGGGATACGGATGTTATCTGTAGATCTAAATAGAAGAAAGGAATTCTTCAACTTAAAAGCAGAAATTTGCGGCATAAAAAACCAACAGATCAATAAAAAACAATCATCGATTCTTGGCAAAGTCCAATAAAATCGAGACATTTATTGGCAAGGCTAAGTAGGAGAAACAAGGGGGATGCCCTCTTGTACCAAAAATGGAGACATTGGGGCAGCTTCGCAGCAGGCTGGGGCGTAGCTCAGGTAGCATGGGCTTGCGGGGCCCTGGGCTTGATCCCAGCACCACAATAAAAAAGAAGAGAGAACCAAGAGAGAAAAGCAAAAAGATTCCTTAATCTGTTAAGTACAGCTGCATACTGTCTGACCTACAAACCTGACTTTGTCTGGGGGAGGGGGGAATGAATTTCCCAAATCCACCTAATCAATTCCTCTATTTACAACTAAAAATATTGTTTTTTAAAAATTTTTTATTTTATTATTATTATTTTTGATACAGAGATTGAACCCAGGGATGCTTAACCACTGAGCCACATCCTCAGCCCAATTAGTATTAGTATTAGTATTATTTATTGAGACAGGACCTTGCAAAGTTGTTTAGGGCTTCACTAAATTGCTGAGGCTGGCTTTGAATTTGTGATGCTCCTGCCTCAAGCCTCCCCGCGTGCTGGGATTACAGGCGCGAGCCACTCATCGCAGCCTGCTTTTCTTTACCTGCTTGTTCCAAATTGTATCCCTTTGTGGGAAACTATTTCTTTTTTCACGAAGTTACTATGTTCTTAGAAGACAAAATGCCTAAAATGTCATATCTCATTTAGAAACAGATTGAGCTTTTGGAAGTTTTTGCAGCAAGTAAATTGTGATACCCATGAGATAAACTTTCTCAAAACTTACTTATCTTTCAGGGGCTGGGATTGTAGCTCCGTGGTAGAGCGCTCGCCTAGCATGCTTGAGGCACTGGACTTGATCCTCAGCACCACATTAAAAATAATAATAATAACAAAGGTGTTGTGTCCACCTACAACTAATATATATATTTTTTTAATTACTTATCTTTCATACTTTCCTGATACATTAATTCAATTCCAGTCTGCAGCTATAACAGGTTCTTAACTGACAACCCAAAATGACCACAGAAATAATGGCCCATCTTTGTTTAGGATTTATTCATTAGCGTATTTGGTCCTTTTCAGGATTTCAAGCTGAAGATGGCGATATTGTTAGTATACCCTTTTTTGTGGAGAGGGTTACCAGGGATTGAACTCGGGGGCACTCAACCACTAAGCCCCATCCCCAGCCCTATTTTGTATTTTGTTTAGAGACAGGGTCTCACTGAGTTGCTTAGCGCCTCACTGTTGCTGAGGCTGGCTTTGAACTGATATTCCTGAGCCACTGGGATTAAAATTGTGCGCCAAACACCACGCCCTGCCCCGAAGTATACCCATTTTATGGATGGTGAAACTGAGTCAGGCAGAGGTTGACCAAGGTCACCCAGCTTGGATGGCAGAATGGGCATGCCAAGGGAGAAAGACTTCACTGTTCAGAGTATCAAAGCCTATATAAGAATTCAGCTCTATCTACATCTCCTTTTAACTGGGAATTTAGCCCTGAATAATGCACCTGTCTGACGTAGATGACCCCTAGCAAGAGAGTTTAAGGTAAGAAAAACATCAAATGCCCTCAGGAAAGATGACTAAAGGATTTTAGAAACAGAGAGAACGTCCACTAAGGTGAAGCTGACTTTACTGGAGGTTTAAGGAGAACAGTAGAAGGCCAGTCCCTAGCCATACGTGGCATTTCAGAAATGCCAGGGCAGGGCAGCTAGTGTCATTGTTGCCATTACTGTCACCATTACCCTCTCTCCCACTATTACTTTTTTTTAAAAAGAATCCCTTTTCTTCTTTCTCCTCTCCTCCTCCTCCCCCACCCACCACCAATGACTGACTAAATGTTAATCCACTCAAAAGACCAGATTAGCCATGAATGCCGTATTTGCATTCCAAAGAATGACTGAGCCGCAGCTAAGGAGGGTAGGTGTGGAAAGGTTTTGAGGCTAAGGGTCCTTCTAAATCCCCCTCCTCCCTGCTCCTCTCCCCTTCCCACCTCCGGGGGCTGTGTGCACTCCCTCACCCCTGCTTCCCCATCCTATCCAGAGAAAGCAGGTGTGGACGTCATTTGTGGGTGTGTGGGGGGGGGGTCCTGAGCCAGGCACCATTAAAAGTCTAGTTCTCCAATTGTTCTGTGTGGTGGTAGAGCCTGAGGGGTGGACCCAGACTCCACCTTCTTTTGTATGTGAACATTCATTAAATACCCGTTCCTCCCTGGACAATCTTTCAAAATACCCTGGCCACAGAAAACACACTTTGAAAAAAACAAAAAAAAAAAAATCATTTTTGGTTTAATTTATACAGGACCTAAACTAAACTGTTTCTGCACTTTGCTTTTTTGTGTTTGGTACCTCAGACTTTCCAAGCACACGTATGACATCACTCAGATTCCATGCTCTAGCTGTAGGACTGAATTCTTTGAATAACTTACTGCTTTCTGTTGAAGGTCATATATGTCCCTTTTGAAGTGATACAAAAACAAGCCATTGTGCTTTCCTGAAATCATAATCCCAGTGGCTTTTTTTAAAATAACTAAACTTCAGCCAGTGTGATGGCGCATGCCTGAAAGCCCTGTAATCCCAGTGGCTGGGAGGCTGAGGCAGGAGGATGGCAAGTGGGAGGCCAGTCTGGGCAACCTAGCCAGACTCTTTCAAAAGAGAGGGAAAGACCTGGGGATGTAGCTCCGTGGGGAAGCAGCCCCGAGTTCAATACCCAGGACTGGAAAAATAAACATAGGAAAAACCAAACAAGTAAACTTTTCTGTGGACAGAAGAAAAGCATTTTCACCTGCATTTATCACAAAAGTTCTCTAGCATTTTGGTGCAGTTTGTAACAGTTCAGATAAGTTTTTATCTCGTTTTTAAAGTGTGGGGGCGCTGGGGCTGGGGCTGGGGCTCAGTGGTAGAGCACTTGCATGTGTAAGGCACTGGGTTCAATCCTCGGCGCCACATAAAAATAAATAAATAAATAAAACAAAGGTATTGAGTTTATCTACGACTAAACATATTTAATAATAATAACTTTAAAAAGTGTGTGGTGCTTTCAGCGACTTCAGTAACCCCTCTGTGGCAGTATCATGCTTCTATGTGACCTTTCCGGAAACTTCATAACAACAGGAGCTATGTGTGAAGGTGGAATCAACCAAGAAGCAGGAATATTCTTGTGTACTTTCTGCATTTTACACTCTCTTTCTCAGGCTTCTTAGTGTTGGGAGGATACACATTAAGCAACTTGTTTCTGAATTAAGGTGTTGCGTAATCTGTTTGCTTTCTTAAGAATTGCCTTAAATCACTAGCCCGTGTATGTATGGGATCCTGGTTCTGAGCAAATCAGCAATGAACTTTTCAAGTTCCGTCTACCTAGAGGAGTCAGTGTGATTGATTTATTAATTAGCAAAAGCCCTCCTCTGAAATTACCTTGCATTAATCACAATTCGTGCAAAATATATCCAATTAGTCTTAAGATGTTGGTTTGACAAACTATCCTTTCTTCAGAGACTACAGTCAATTTTAATAACCCTCCCTGGATAAATCATTAATGTTCAGCCTGAGATGATAAGTGGTGCAGGAAATTCCAAAAAGTACAACAGTCTCCTTCTGGCAAAACTGAAAACTATGTGAAATGGAGACAAGGCGGCTGGGTGAAGCAGGAAGCCAGGTTCTGACAATTCAGGATAGTCCAGTATCTGCTGCCACACGCTCTGAAGGAATCAGGAATCAAGGCTAAGAGGATTCTCCGGAGTCCAGGGCTAGTGAGAATGTACAGAACTCTGCCTTTTGGTTAAGGACTCCTCATATCTGTTCAGGGCCCAAACAAACTGATCCATTGGCAAAAAGTTCAGGCCTGCTAGTCACTTGGACTCCTGGATGTCCTCTTTTGCATGCTTCAAAACCTGTGCTTGCAGGCTGGGGCTGTAGCTCAGTGGTAGAGCACTTGCCTAGCATGTGTGAGGCCCCGGGTTCGATTCTCAGCACCACATATAAGTAAATGAATAAAATAAAGGTCCATCAATGTCTAATATATATATATATATATATATAAAGGTCCATCAACAACTAGAAAAAAATTATTTAAAAAATGTGCTTGCAAAATCACACAGGTTTAACCAACTTAAAATTGTTTCTTAAAATTGGTCCTGCCTTACAGATAAAGGAATAGAAGCCCTTCAGTTCACATGAAAAATTATACGGCAAATCCAGGACCAGAATCCAATGATCCTAAGGCAAGCCAAACAGCTTCTCTCAGCCCAAGGATCTCTTTCTATAATTAAAGAGCTGGAATAAACAAAATTGCATGGTTTCCAATCCAGTATCTTGATTCTACATCTACTTTCTCAATAACCTCCCTGTGCCTAGACTAAGTATTTATATCTGTAAAAGAGCAGCTATAAATACACACATATATTGTAAAAGTGTCAAACAATGGAAGGGTCTACAGGTCTAGTGGTTTTGTTTGTTCTGCTGCTGCTGGGGACTGAACCTAGGGCCTCGAGGCTGTTAGGTGAGCATTCACCACGGAGACTATCTCCAGCCCAAATGGAAAGTTCTTAGAGGAACAAAGTTTAAGGGATTCCAGTTTATTATTATTTAACTCATATGAATTATGCAAATTAATGGTTTGACTGTGACATTTCCATGCATGCATGTCTGACTCAAGTGAAAATGATTTCTGTGTAACCAAAAAATTTATACATGTGTGTTAGGTGTTTAATTCCTTACACATGAGGGATTTTTTTTTTTTTTTACCTAATGACTATAAGAGGGGAAAACAAAACAAAACAAAAAAGCTAGATATTTCTGGACATTTAAAATTCCCCATTCTTGAGGGAAAATGAAAATGATTAGAGAGAGATGGGGAAAACAGTGGGTTTTTTTTAAAACCCCAACTCCTCATTTTATTGCAAAGATTTAAATATCTCTAGATTCTGTTTAAAAGGATGAATGCTGAAGAATGATCAAGCTTGAGTAACAAAACCCAGTAAATTTTAGCGAATTTGACTCCTAAAGATAGTCCCCAGCCAGTGGAGTGTGCTTCCTGAATGATCTTCTGAGCCCAAATGATTCATCAAAAGGGAAGCCAAGACTGAGATTCAGGGAGTTTTCAAAAAGAAGTGGGAAGCTGCAGGAGTGACTTTCCCTTCTCGGTGGGGACATTTTACAAAACTCTCTTAATAAGTGTTAATGAACTATGAAGTACTTTGAGTTACTAAAAGAGAGAGAGGGAGAGACAGACAGACAGACAGATCTCTATCTTGCAATAGAAAAATGCTATTTGCACTTTCAGGCCTGAAAAACAAAGGAGGTTCCCAGGCTACAAGCAGGAGTCCTCTGGAGACCAGGCTGGGCAGTGCATTCACTGCTTCCTTATCTTTGAAACCCTGGGCTCTGGCTCCCTCCGCACTCAGCTACCTTCAGTTCTGCAATTAAGGAAGTTAAAACCTGAAGCCGGAGCAGCCCCTGTGAATCATGATGCGAGTCTGCCCAAGGTTCCCTTTGGCCAAAGATCCTCACTCAGCGTTTGGAAAGGACAACCGGTGTTCACAGTTCTTTTTCAATGCTACACTTGTAAAATCCATCTGGGGAATACTACCTCGCAGGGTGAATTTACAGAGCGATTGCACTTAGCTGAACTTTGGTCTTTTGTTTTGAAGGCCTCTGGGGAAGTTGATAAAGTTATGATTTATTGTTTTGTGAGGGACATTCCAAAAAAGTAAGCAAAGGTCATAGAGACCGACTCAATTTTCAACTCAGTTTTGGGAGGGCTGGTGTGTGTGTGTGTGTGTGTGTGTGTGTGTGTGTGTGTCTGCTGTATGGGCCCGAGGCAAGTGTTCTACCTCTGGGCCTCATCTTCAGCCCAGTAGTGTGGGGGTGCAGGCCTGTAATCCCAGCAGCTCAGGAGGCTGAGGCAGGAGGATCCTGAGTTCAAAGCCAGCCTCTGCAATTTAGCAAGGCCCTAAGCAACTCAGGCAGACCCTGTCTCAGAATAAAAAATATAAAAGGGGGGCTGGGGTTGTGGCTCAGTGGTAGAGCACTCACCTAGCATGTGCGAAGTCCTGGGTTCGATCCTCAGCACCACATAAAAATAAATAAACAAAATAAATGTATTGTGTACAAATAAAAAATAAATACTATATATATGTGTATATATATATATATATATATATATATATATATATATATATATGGGCTGGGGATGTGGCTCAGTGGTTTAGCCCCACTGGGTTCAATCCCTGGTACAAAAAAAAAAAAAAAACTATAATACAAAATGTGTTCTAATTTTAAGAAAATTTCATAATGTAGTAAAAAGGTTTATTAAAAAATGGATTTCATAAGGCATACCCAAAACTAATCAACAGGTACCCATCTCATCAAGTGCATTCCAGGGGCAGGTGATGTGAGCTGGGTTGTACCTTACCCAGTTGGAACACCAGAATCCTAAAACCAAATTGTTGGTTTTGGTCCACAATTTGCTGTGTGCCTGAGTGCACTATGTATTTATTTTTCAAATGGATGTTTTAGCAACCAGCTGAGGCCTCTGCTTCCTTCAAATATGCCACAATCCTAGTTACTTCCTCCTCCTCCTTCCCTCCAGTGGGCCCAAAGTGCAAACGTAAGTAACAGAGTCCCCCCAGTAAAGGCTGACAGCCCTGTGAGCAGGCTGCTTCCCCCAGCTGGGGCAGGCCTTTTAATATGTACCAGCTCCCCGCCCCCCCACAAATGAGTCTCAGTTCCCACCATAGCTTTGCAGAACTTTACTTGGCTAGAAGGATCTGTCTCCTGCAAAGTAGACAATTAAAATAGATTTTTTTAATTTGCAGATAAACACATTTTAATGCAGCGATAGCTCTTGAACTTCTCACTCCCAGCCTAATCTTTAATTTGTCCCAGAAATGCAGAAACCTTGAAGTGTTCTTTAAATATAAAGATCAAAAAGAAAAATTTAAAAAAGGCACTAAAAGCTTTAAAAGATACCTGTCCAAATTACCCTATAAAGAGCCCTTTAAAAAACAAAACTCCACATTCCCAGAGATTAACTGCAGGGGATCTATGTTGAGAGTGATGTGATGTTGTCATGAATGATCATGATAACCGACAAAACGACAAAACGGAATCAGCCTCAGTGTGGGGCCTCACAGTTAAAGAAGTAAACAGAAAAAAAAAAAAAAAAAAGGTCTCCTGTGTAAGAAGTGTTTCAACATGAACTGCTGTCAAAGGGGGTTTTAAAGTAAAACCTGGTTGGGAATGTAGCTCAGTGGATGAGCCTCTGCCCTGGGTTCCATCCCCAGCACTGAAAAAAAAAATAAAGTAAGAAAAGCAAAGAAAAATAAAAAATAAAAAGAAAGAAAGAAAAGAAACCAAAGCATGGAAGAACTGCTTCCTATGTACAGTGGAAAAGTTTACCCAAATGACAAGCTGTCGTGTGGGGACGTCTCAACAACATTCTAGTTTGTTTCCTCAGATCAAAAAGCAGAGACACAAGCTCAGCATTTCTATCTGTGCTGTGGGTCATCTTCCCTGTTCCCTGGAGTAATCATATGCTGCATCCATGAAGCAACTGTCTAACACCTGAATGTTCTCAGTACAAAGACCAGTGGGGTCATATGACAAGGCTATATTTAGAGAAGGACTCTGTTTTCTGTTTTGCTCAGCCCTCACCATTTTCTGCTCCAAAGAGGAGTTTCAAATGCACATTGATCTTTCTCATTTCGTGAATGAACTGAATTAGCACCTGTTTTCAACTGCCAAAAAATGCACTTTTATTTTTTTTAAATGGGGAAAGAGAAGTCTGTGTGCTGTTAAGTCAACATGGGAGGTATGTTTTTTTTTTTTTCTTTTTTCCTACTTTCTTCAAAAGAACTCAACCAGAAGGTACAGTAAGAATATTTACTAAATTTTCTAAATGCTGGGGCGTGTGCCTTAGGGAACCAAGCAACATATGGGATAGTGGTAATATTCCAAGGGGATTTGGATATAAACCGTCCCCCTTACTAATGTTGGGGAAACTAACTCGTGTAACCACAAAGTGACTGAAAAGTCAGCTCTAGGAAGCAAGAAAACAACTTGGTAGTCCCATTCGTACCTCTGTGAGCCCTTTCCTCATAAAAGGCCTGGGAAAAAATAATAACTTTCAGAAATTAAATGTCATAAACATTAATTGGCCAAGACAAGACCCAACTTTTTGGAAGATGCTTTCCACCTATATTCTTTCTGTGGTGGTGACCTAAATATTTTCCTGAGGTTGAGCATTGGATTGATTAAATGATTCTTTTTTAAAAAAAATCCTGCCCATTCATAAGATGGATGTGGCTCACATAAGCCACACTGACAGCGTGGACTCTAATCTCATGAACTCTCCCGTGTGTTCAAAGATGATGCTGAAGGGCTCTGCTCCGGTTAACTGAGCTGGTGGGGAGGTGCCTGGCTGTTGGCAGTTGTATGTTTGTGGTTCTGCCCCCCCCATCCCCTGCCTGCCCTAGAGAGGCAGAGTGGAAAAAATGCACTAGAATGAGCAGAAACTAAATAACAAAAACAAACAAAAAGCCAGACATGGTGGTGGCACATGTCTGCAATCCCAGTGGCTCGGCTCAGGAGGCTGAGGCAGGAGGATCACGAGTTCAAGGCCAGCCTAAGCAACTTTGTGAGGCCCTAAAAAACAGTGAGACACTGTCTCTAAATAAAACATAAAAAAAAATAAAGGGCTGGCAATGTGGCTCAGTGGTGAAGCACCCCTGGGTTTATTCCCTGGTACCAAAAACAAAACCCTACCACTGAAAAGCCAGGAATGGGGTTGAAATGCCAGGATTTGTGGTGCAGGAAAGCAGGGCTGATTTAAATCTTGCATACTAAAGATGCCACTCGTGTTTCCTGTCCATCCTACCCAGCTGTGGGCTAGCCCACAAGTGAACTATGTGGTAATTGGACAGAGATTTAGATTCAGGCTCCGTAAGCAGAGAACTCATTCCTTCAACATGTATTAAAAGTCACCCCCTGAGGGGGCTGGGGTTGTGGTTAGCGTAAGAGCACTCGCCTAGCATGTGTGAGGCCCTGGGTTCGATTCTCAGCACCACGTAAAAATAAATAAATAAAATAAAGATACTGTGTCCAACTACAATTAAAAAATAAATATTAAAAAAAAAAAAGTCAGCTGAAACGACAGCTACCAACTCACAGGAGACAGGATGAGTATTCAGCATGACCGGATCATACCTGGTGTGGTGTGTCCAGGGGATGGAGAGCTCTTCTGGAGCACCCACTGGTCAGCCCTGCCATCTTAACTAAGATAGCCTCTGTCCAAGTCTCGCTTCTTTCTGCTTCAGTTTTCCACCTGCCTTCTCCAGGGTGCTTGTGGTTGTGTCTCATGATATTCGTTGCTGCTTAGACTCTTTGTTTGTTCAGTACTAGGGTCTGAACCAGGGGTGACTTACCACTGAGCCACATCCCCAGCACTTTTAATTCTTCATTTTGGGACAGGGTCTCACTAAGTTGCTGAGGTTGGCCTTGAACTTGTGATTCTCTGGCCTCATCCTCCCAAGCCACTGAGATTACAGGCATGGACCACGATACTTGGCGTGCATAGACCCTTTTCCATTGTTGCTTTAACAAATTCTTTTCTATTTTATTTTTATTTTGTTAATTTTTTCAGTACTGGGGATTGAACCCAAGGGCACTCTTCTGTTGAGCTACATCTCCAGTCTCTCTCTCTATACACACCCATATATGTATATATATCCACAAACATATACATATATGTTTATATATGTTCATATGTGTGTGTGTGTGTGTGTATATATATATATTTTTTTTTTTTTTTTTTTTTTTTGGACAGAGAGACATGCAGCATCTCTAAATTCCCCAGGCCAACCTCAAACTTGTGCATCTTCCTGCCTCAGTCTCCCAAATTGCTGGGATTACAGGTGTGCGCCATTCTGCCCCACCAATTTTTTTTAATATTTATTTTTTAGTTATAGGTGGGCACAATATCTTTATTTTATTTTTATGTGGTGCTGAGGATCGAACCCGGTGCCTCACGCATGGTAGGCAAGTGCTCTACCTCTGAGCCACAACCCCAGCCCCTCTAGAAATTCTTTCATTTTTTTAATCATTCAAATTTTTCCTTTAAGGTTCAATATTAAACAAGGTTTGCCTAGGTGCTTAAAGACCCTAGAATTTTCGTATTATGGACTATTCAAAATTTGCCCACATGGTCAGGCATGGTGGTCCACAGGGTGACCAGGTCAGAAAGGACACTTCTCCCTCTCAGCAGAGCCTGAGGTCGCACTTCCTGCCTCCTGGCCAGGTGTTGTGCTACCTGCTGGACAACAGCTATGAGTAGATTTCTGTCCTTGGGGCGGGGGGAGCTACTGTCTTTGCATAAACAAGAAGGAAACTAGACCCACCAAGGCCCTGTCAGGGAGCGCCATTCACCCTTACACCTAGTGAAGAAAGGTGAACTCCAAGCTACTGGGGGGTTCCCCGAGGATGCTGGGTTTTTGTTTTTTCGTTTTTATTTTTTCATTTTTATTCGTTATTTTCGCTGGAGCTAGAACCCAGGGCCTCATGCAAGTTGCACTCCTGCCCCTGTATTTAGCTTCTAAGTACTTTGTTTAGACAGGAGTCTTTGTTGCTTCTTTTTGTCCTGTATCCATAGCAGAGATGAGCACACGGGTCTGCAGGGTTGCGGACCAGCCTGCCTTGCCAAATGTATTTTGGAAAAGCTGAAAAGCTGGCCATTCCCATTCTTGGAAATTCTTGAGCATCGCCTCTGGTCATGTTCTGTTTAGAAATTAGCATTCCTCGATTTAAAACAAAATGTCCATCGAGGGTACAGTACATAGAAGTGTCGGTGCTGGGAACCACATGGGACAGGCCTGCTTCCAACACGTGGCTGCTTTTCAGTGGCTTGGTGAACCCAGGAGTTTCCTTCGCCCTGCCCTCTTTCCTCCTCGGCCTCCACCCCACAGTGTTCAAGATGATTTTATTTTGTAACTACTCTGAGAGCTTACTGTAGCGGGGGTTTAAGCGGTTGCAAAATGTTGCCGTGCTTGAAGTTTACAGAATGTATTTACGTCTCATCTTATGATCATGACCGCTTCAAAGGAACCAAAGATAGCAAAGCTGGTCCCCTCTGGCCCCAACCAGCCAAAGCCAAGACAAGGCAGTTGAATGACACTGCTCTATTATTTAAAGACTTGCTTTACACACAAGACTTCAGAATGATGAAAATGTAAATCGGGGGTCGTTTTATATTGGAAATGTACATGAAGTTTCATCATTTAACGGTTTCCTCAGAATGCTGGGTTGTTTTATTATCACACATTATGCAGATTCTATCTTTTATAAAGCACCTAGTATGTGCAAGAATATTCTGGGGCTGGGGATATAGCTCAGTTGGTAGAGTGCTTGCCTTGCACACACAAGGCCCTGGGTTCAATACCCAGCACCAAAAAAAAAAAAAAAAATCTAACAAGAATATTCTAGATCTAAGGGGGAAAAAACTATCATAAATAAGAGCTGATCTCCGTCCCTGAGTTAACATATGAATAGTCCCTGAGGAGTAAGGGACTGTAGTAAATATTTTAGATCTTTTTAGATCAAGGAGTCTATAAATCCTGAGGCACTACATATTTTAAGTTTAAAGAACCATATAGTGGGGGGGAGGGGCTAGGGTTGTAGCTCAATGGTAGAGCGCTTGCCTTGAATGCATGAAGAACTGGGTTTGATTCTCAGCACATAAATAAATAAATAAATATCCATTGACAACTGAAAAACTATTTAAAAAAAAAAAATAGAGTCTGGATCTTAGTTACTCAACTACCCCTAGGAAAGCAGCCATAGCCAATTACCCGTAACTGAATGAGCACAACTGCATTCCAATCACACTCTACTTCTGTGTTTGTTTTGAGGTACTGGCTACTGAAACCAGGCCTTTGTGAATGCTAGGCAAGCCCTGTACTAATAAAGCTTTATTTACAGCAGTGGGAGGGGGCAGGGTCCACACCTGGATCCCAGTGACAGCGGAGGCTGAGGCAAGAGGATCAGAGGATGGAAAGTTCATCAGAAACTTAGTAAGACTGTGTCTCAAAATTTAAAAAAGAAGCCAGGTGCCATGGGGCACGCCTGCAATCCCAGCAGCTTGGGAGGGTGAGGCAGGAGGATTGTGAGTTCAAAGCCTGCCTCAGCGACAACATCAAGGGAGATCCTGTCTCTAAATAAAATACAAAATAGAGCTGGGGGTATGGCTCAGTGGTTGAGTGCCCCTGAGTTCAATCCCCAGTACCAAAAGAAAAAGAAAAAAAAAATTAAATACTTTTTAGTTATATATGGACACAGTGACTTTATTCTGTTTTTATTTTCATGTGATGCTAAGGATCGAACCCAGTGCCTCACATGTGAGAGGGAAGCGCTCTGTCACTGAGCCACAACCACAGTCCGGAAAAGGTCAGAGATGTAGCTCAGTGGTGGAGCACCCTTGGGTTTAATCCCCAATGCCACACAAAGAAATAGCAATAAGGCTTTATTTACAAAACTGGTCAGCAGTGCAGATTTGCATGTGGGTGACAGAGTCTGAGAGCTTCTTTAGGTGTATTAAGTCATGCAGCTGCCACTGCTCACATTGAGGCTGGCCAGCTCTTATTATCACATCAGCACGTCTTAGATGGGGATACGGAAGCTGGAAAGAAGGTGATCTTAGCCCAGCTCACACAGCAAGTGACTGTCAAAGCTGAGATTTGGAAACTCATTTTCCCTATTCTGCAAGTGGGCCTTACCTGCTAACTCTAATAATAATGGTACCGAATTGAACCAGCCAGGCTTGAGCCAGACAGGCGGAGTCAAATCCTAGCTTCCTCACTGACCACCTGGAGGGCCGT